GGAACAAGGGTAAGACCATCAGGCCTTTTACCATCAGACCTAGAAAGGCCAGATGGCTCCAGACAAGAAGGAATTCCCGCGGAAGAGAGAGCTCGATGGAGGACATCGTTGATGGCTGCATGACGGTGGAAACGCATCCTACCCTTTTTACAGGAGAGCCCATGAAGTCCCAATGAGTCAATGGTGGCCCCACAGTGACGACAAGTGTGAGGAGCACAGAGTGGGAGTCCTAATCTCAGAGCAACACAAATCCTAACAGACATATCATCCAGACGGAGACCAAGGGAGGAAATAGGCAGGCACTGTAACCAGGCACCAGACTCATCAGCTGAGACAGCGATGAGCCTAGCACGATCAATATCATTCGACACGGACTCAAGCAAATTATCAAAAGTAGCGTCCACCTGGGGTCTATCCCATGCAAACTGGCTGGATTCCTTATCATCAACTGGGGGGGTTAGAGATGGGAATAAAAAGTTAGGACAGATTAGAATAAATTAGGTTATGTTAGAGCAGGACAGATTAGGGAATTTAGAAATGAGTCAAGAAAAAAAAAGAAAAAGATACAAATGAAAAATTAATCTAAATAATAATAATGTAATTAATGTAGCATATAGTCAAGTGTGGCTCCATCAGGTGTATTAATTGATCGCCACTTGGAACGAGCTCCACCTAGGCATAATATGGATGCTCTAATAATAGCAAATGACAGTCTAGTTCTTAACCAGCATACCACTTCACTGTAAGGTTTATTCCATTTTGATGACAGTCCATCTCCAATTCTCTTCACAAAACATGTAGCTTCCTTGCCCATGAGACCATCCACAGAAATACATAAGGGTGTGAATATAGCTCTTCTTTCTTCACAAGCCGACTGGTGCTTAGCCTTTTTCTCCCTTTCAGCCTGAACGAGCACATCAGGAGGACTCTTAGACAAATATGACTGGGCATCAGTGTCTACCACTCTAATATCAAACAACGCCTCAGTCTGTGGTGTCCAAGCCCCTCTAACAGCTAGATCAGCAATTAGAGCAGGAGAATCAGCACTCATCTCACGAATAACTGGTTCCCGACAAACTTGCCCCCAAATGAGAGAGGCAAGATCACCAAAAGTGTCACGAATCTCATTGTGACGCTGAACAACAAGGCCTCCCTTACGGCATGAGAGAGTGTGAGATAAATCAAATGGAGAGCCACATCCATCACAATGAGCTGGAATATTGAGTAAGGGCTTCCGATACCAAATAGCAAGAGCATCACGAAACTATTGTGCAGAGAGATCATACTGATGTTAAGAGATAGGTACCACATTGAGCCAGAGAGATATTTTAGAATCCTTTGCTCGCTTAATCGCTCTCTGTTGCATCTTATCGAGTTCTTTTATAGTGGCAGTGAAGGTCTCCTCAAGCCTCTGATCTCTTATCTTAAATAGTTCATCATGAGCAGAAATGAGAGTATCCATGTGGATATCATAAGCAAAGTCTTTCTGATGCTTGAGTGATTCAATCAAAAATTTAGTAGACCTCCTTGATAGTTGGTAATGAAAATCTCCAGTCATAGTAGGGTTCTGGATATTAAGACCTCCTAGACGTGTGGGTAGGGAACAGATAATTCTTTCATTAGTAGAAACTTCGCATCCAAACAAAGTTGGTATCAATTCAGTAGCTAGTTTATTTTCCAGCTCATCAAACAAATGGCCACGGTCTGATACTAGACGCTGAATATAGGTCCATTTATTCTGAATTGATTATTATTATTATTTATTATATTGTTTATTACACAAAACAAAGAAACAAAGATTATTATTGTTATTATTATTCTATACAGACCCCCTGTTAGACAAGAAGCCTCTAAAGAGTGACCTCCTTAGGTTATTTAAAGATTCTGGTGTTCATAGTAAAATTATTGGTACTGCACTTGATGTTCAAGTAAACGACCTAGTACCTCTTCCTCAGCTTACCTCAGATAACCTCATACTTGTGTTCCAGAGATGGATAGACTCTGATAATGATGTGACCTGGAGGAACATACTTGAAGTTTGTGAAGATTATCCAGATGAACTTGGTAGAGCAAAATCTGATGTAGAGGGATTTCTGTCATCAGATAGAGCCTGTAGAAAATATAAGTAGTAATACATTGACATTGACTTTTGATTGCATACATACATGATACTAACTAAGTACATGTACTCTTGATGATACTTTAATACATTATACATGCATACATAATGCTTAGTTATTGTTTTTGTTACTTGTCATTATTATTGTTATTATTAATATTACTATTATTATTAATTTCTGCTTTATTGTTCTGCTTTTTGTATTCTTTATTTACTCTTTGAATTATAGAAAATAATCATAATTTTAATATCAACTATCATTAACTACCAACAACTGATGAGCTATTGACACTTATTATGTTAACAAAAGCTCCTTCTTTACTGTCGAATGTATTCATGTGAATTCTGTCATCATTGATTATTAATATTAGTAGTCATGTCTCTCTTTCTCCTCCTGGACTGACACGAGCTAATAAGCATCCATCAATAATCTGAAAAAAAATTAAAAAAAGCAAATTGATGTACATGTACACCAACCATTTATACATGTACAGGTAAAAAATTAACAAAGAATTAATTCAACTTCATTTAAAATCAGCTCTAACTTCTACATAGCATAAGAACATCCATGCATCATTGTCATGTCCATCATCATCCCTAAGCCAGTTAACCCTGTACTAATAATGACATAAACACTGAAGGAGTATATGAAAGTAAGTATCATCATTGTAATCACAAATTAACTGCTACAAATCTATATTACAATGATGATGATACTTTAATTGTTCATACCTATAATAACTGTACATAGGTATCAGTGAAATTGTATATGATGAACCAAAAATGATTAATACTGAAGAAAAGACGTAAGTAAATGATAGACTACACAAAATTTTAAAATTAAAATGCAGACTCTGCTGTATGTAATGTTATTATACAGAAAATTATTCTTAGCAAAGATTTAAAATATCAAAACTCTCATTCATCACATATGCTAGTTTTAAAAGTAGATTTCAAATTAAATTTAAATTCCGAAATTTTCAATGCCCATAATTTTTATGCCTTATTGTAGCAAAGTAGTCTATAATAACTATAATTGTAACAAAATTTTTATTGGTAGGATATGATAATAAATGAAGCATATGAACAAGTGAAAGAAGAAGAGTTGTATATATAATAGAGAATTTGAAAATTAAAGTATAAAAACTATTAACACTACATGTAACTGACTGCATAACATTTAAGATGTCTCTGTCTATCATATTGAATATTAATTTTTATTCTTAAATACTACAATAAAGTCTAATACATAAAATTAAGGTATTTAGAGGCTAAAACAGCAGTAAAAGATGGATTATTACTGAAAAGATTTGTTGGAATGTATTAATACAATAAAACTGACAGAAGTATTAATTAATATTGATCAAGTCCTTACACTATAAAAATTAAAAAAACCAAATTAAATAGGATTTTACAGCAAATTTGTAAAAAAAGTGATGAAAACAGGGGCAAAAGAAATGATGGATCACCTTGCAATGTAATAGAATTTGCATCATATTTATTTTGTATTTTTGTTGATCATTTGGAATCCTACTTGCCTTTGTTTCCATTACTTTTTTTACAAACTTGCTCTAGAATCCTAATTAATGTTGTTTTTTAAATTTTATGCTCTTAGTACAGGGACCTTAGCCCATTTTTTGAAAATTAACAAAATCAATAATGGCCTCATGCACTCAACCCTTCATTACCTATAATTATACATGAATATTTAAGTACCAATTTAAAAGCATGGTATGTGATAGCAGCCTCAATGACAGCAAAAAAAGATAAGATTCCCTGTAAGTCATGTACAACAACTTACAAACAAAAATTAACTGCATAAATGAAGTACCAGGCCCGTAGCCAGGGGGGGTTTCGGGGTTTCGGACGAACCCCCTGTTGTAGCTGCAAAAAAGTTTTAGATTAGCTCCTGTCTTGAAGAACAGCACTGCAGAAGCAGGAATTGCTTTGCGTGCAGCAATTTCCAAACCCCTACTCAAAGTTCCTGGCTACGGCCCTGAGTACATGTAGCATACAATAACCTTTATATGTAAACATAACTGTAACAGTTACACAACACCTTTTATAGCTGCTGAGTGTGGCTCAGATAGTGCAGAGAGAGCTGGCGTTCCATAAAAAGTTTTAACCCGCGATTTTTGGTTCTCAAGGCCAGCTAAACTGTCTGTCCTTGCCCCGGCAGTAAGCATTAAAAAATAGAAGGGGAATCCCATACTCTGTTAATTGTGGCTCTTAAGTCAATGAATGTGTTAAGCTCTGAAGATACCAGTATTTTCAATTGAGGTGCAAGCACAGAGCTATATGCTGTGGTTATGGT